CTCTCACACAGGTGCAGGTCCCAAGGCTTTGGGCCATCCTCCACTGCTTTCCCAGACCACAACCAGGGAATTGGATGGGAAGTGGAGCATCTGGGACATATGGGATCCCAGCTCATTCAAGGCAAGCATTAGCCACTAGCCCATCGCACTAGGCCCAAGACTCATCTTTAAACACAGTGCTTCTAAGCATATTTCCATCTTCAAGAGAAAGAATCGTAGAGAAAATCTGTCATCTCTTGCCTATGTCATTCGATGCCGGTAACACTCAGAGTTAGATCTGTCTAATAACAGGAGATGAATAGTAAGTATGATTCTCCCATGTGGTGGCTATGATTTGTGAAATCACTGGTACCTCCAAGGATGCACATAAGCGGGAAATTGGAATTGGGAGTGGATCCAGGAGTCTAACCCAGGGACTTCAACGTGGGATGGGGGCTTCCCAAGGGAAATCTAAGGTGCTGCTGCACCCTAATCTCTATTCTTTATTACATTTACCTTCTGTTAGCCTGGAGACAGTATTCATTTTAAAAGTTAATCAAATTTGCTGAGAGCCAAAGATTCTGACTAATTAAAATGCCCTCAACAATTTTGTCAAAATTATTAAAACAAGAGCACAGACAATCAAGGCCTAAGGCATTCTTCAGATATATGCTCTGCTAAGCCAACTCAGAGAATCAGAAAAAGTTATTATAAACCTGTCAAAAATTGTGGAATTTCTCAAAGAGAATAACTTATCATCTCTGAAAGAATAATCGTAGATGTCTCTGAAAGGGACAGAAAATCATTTTGTTAATGAAAGGAGCCTTCCAAAGATACCTAAACAGAGTGTTTTTCTCTTTATACATGTTACATTGCTCAAATGGCTGACACAAGTGAATATGTGATATCAACATGTATGAAGCTGTGGTTTTTAACTTTTGCAGCATTTTTAATTAAAAAATGAATTGCAATTACCTTTTACAGCAATGTCTTACATTCACATTTCTTAAAAGATTTTGTGGTTTCTAAACAGCACCATTGAAAAAATCCATTCATGTCCCATAGTATGGTGGCTTTGATCATTCTTCATTAAGTGCAGTAAATCAGAATGGAGCATGAGAGTGCTCATATTTCCTGGTGGCTCTGCATGATGTTCCCGGATGGCTGGATAATCTCGTGCCCTTCTGTGAGCTTGCCCACAGCACAACTCCTGGCAAGCACATTCCTATGCCACCAGTCTTCTCAAGAACATTAAAACAGCCAGCTGGAGCCAACTCCGCTTTGATATGTGTAATAGTCTTACTCATTTAATAACCCTAAAAAGCAGAATTAATTTAAATACTAAATGATCACAAGTCAGTGATCGGGGAACATCACTGTGTGCTCACTCCTTGTTCACACGTCATCTCAGGCAGAAACAATTTTTTTTAGCATTGCTCAATCTTCCAGGTAACGCTTCAGGCAGCAAAAACAGATTCACGACTCTCTTCCATCTCCGTGATGTCCCAAAGGGCCTGACCAAAGGGCTTCTGAGTCCACAGACGGGACTCATGGCTTTATCACAGCTTCATCATATGCTACAATCCTGTAATAAATGTTTATCACATTTCTACTATATTATTGCGTAATAAAAATTGATGAATTACAAAAAAACCTACACCACAGTATGTCTTTGACTCTGTTTCCCTTTAAGAAAATTTAGTGCTTTGCTATATCATTACCACATTTCTCATCTCCCCAGAAAAATCAAGATAGGCTACTAAGAAGTGCACGGAATTGAGTGGAAGTGTGTACAAAACAACAGGACACTTACTTCGCCAGAGTCATTCTGGGCACCCAGGGCTGGTCTCTTTCTACAGTGGCTTTAATAATAAGGGGGAAACCACAGTCCTGGTAGGGCTTCCCCTAATCTCTGCAGCCTCTGTCTTGTCCCCGGCCACTGACACAGGCAACTGTAATCATTTTATGACCTTTGTATTTGAGTGGAAGCTTTTAGCTGGAGTGAAAACCTTTTAGATAGATCATAGATGGAGACTTCCTGTTGACAGCACATGGACTTAGTTGATAGGAAAATGTAGGCTTGACTTGTCTTTTGTTATTCAGCAATGTGTGAGCAGGAGAAAAAAAAACTGACACTGTGCGTCCAAATAACCTGAGCTCTTCAGATATCAGTAAAGGCATTTTTGATCATTTTCTGAATGAATCAGATACTATACACAGTACTAGTTATAAGCCATTCAAAAAATTGAAAATACGCATTTTCTATAGAACCAAAGGTTAAATATGAAGTGACAAATCAGTAAGTTGTAATAAAGATTGAGATGATGAAAGAATTTTAGAAAATTTTGGTAGATAATATGAAATAAAACTTATGATGAAAATTCAAGTGCAAAGCAAATTTAAAGCTGCACAAAAATACTTTGTAATCCTTGAAACCAAATAAAACCTAACTAAAATAAAACCTAACTACTTTGATTTCCATGAGTATGTATTGCACTTCATAATTCTTCATAGGCAGGCAGTTGTGTGTGGTGCACAATTGTATTGGCCCTGTCCTCACCAAACAGCAGTGGCATGTCTCCACCAAACACTAATAATGATGGCAGCCCTGAACGTCCATGTCACACCCATTCCTTCACAACACTGATTACAATAGCAGTTAAAGAAAAACAACAGCCAAGTGGAAACTTACTATTTATTCCCAAAATACTGATGAGTAAGACAGGTTATGCTATGCAATATTGCATTTCTATGTGGTAGATAGGATTTCTCAAGATCTATGGAGATAGAGCCTTCCTTATAACATACCATAATGTAGAGAACTGTAATTAGCTAGCCTCAACATATCTAAAATATGGAAGAGGTTATTATATAACCTATAAAATAAGAGATACTATGATATAAAATAGAGAAGCATAATGATTTTTCATAAATATTTTAAATTTAGATATTTTACTATGTTTCTTTTTTACACATTTTTATAATTATTACAAATGTTCAGAAATATTTATGAGTTTTAGTGACTGTCTTACAAAAATTGAGGATAAAAGCAAGGAAAAAATAAATTGGAAAAAGAAGATAAGAGACAAAAGAAATGTAACGTTAAAAATAATAGATACGTGAAAATTAAAAACAGTAAAAAAATTTGGAACAGATGATTTTGTTGCTGATTTTCCTTCCTAGTAATTAATTCTATGACTCAGGAATTTTACTAATCTAAAATTTAGTAATCAAACTAAAAGAGCAGTTTTTATTCACCTGATGTGTCTGTGGGATTTAAAGAGTGATAATAAGTTAAGAAAAACTTTGAAATCCTGAAGACAGATCATGTAAAAAGTCCCTTAATTCATTCAGCTCTTCAGGTCATACTTTTGATTATGTCAGGCTGTCTGACACATCCAATGTTAAAGAATATTGGTTTCTTGGAAAGTTTCAAGAGGGTAAAATCTTAAGGGTAAAAGTAGTATGGACAGAGAAATAAGAAAGCTCGCAGGCCTATATGTCAACTGTCAACCTAGCTGTTAATAGAGTTTCTTGAAATAAAATCAGTTTAATGTACAACAAATCATTTGCAATGAGTCAATTATTGTAAACAGTTGCTCAGGAAAAATTCAAGTTACTTAACATTTTGAATATTTATTGTTATCACTTTCAAGTATGTTTTTTCATCCACTCAGTAATCAGAAAACAGTCATCATGTAGCCTAACCTTATAGAATCTAAAGTAATGATCTTTCTCTGTATTGCTCAAAAGGTTTTTTGTTTTTTTGTAAGACTGTGGTCTTATTTTTTTAAAACTTTACTATTATTTTTCAGAATTTATTTATTCATTTGAAAGGCAGAGTGATGGACACAGAGAGACATCTACTTGCTTTTTTACTCTACAAATGGCCACGTGGCCAAGACTGAGCAAAGCTCAAGACAGGATCCAGGAGTTTCCTCTACATCTCCATATGTGTAGCTTGGACCCAAGTACTTGAGCCGTCTTCTGCTGCTTTTCTATGTATTTCAGCAGGTCCTGGGTTGGAAGTGCAGTAACTTAAAGTTAAATGGACACTTCAGTGTAGAAAACAGAAATGCAAAGCAGTAGTCTAACTGCTGTGGCCACAGTGCCCGTCCCTAGTTTTCAGGCATTTAAAAGTATAAAACTTTAATGGTAATAGGAAACACTAAAGAGTTCTGTATTATTTTCTGTTTCCAAAGATGTTCTGAATAACCTGTGGTCCAGCATGCCCAGAAATGGAAAAAAAAAAATCCTTAGGAATTCATTTTAACTCCCAGCAGCACATTGGTTCAGGAATATTCTCTAAATTGTGATTACATATTATTCAGGTATATTCAGTAAGATTTTAAATGTGTTTTGAAGAAGCTGGTTCCTGTGTCTTCACACATACATGACTTTTCAAAAGATAAGTCTAGGAAAACATAATAGAAGACAAGTTCTGTCTTCATTTCTAGAGAATGAATTTCCACCTGTTACAATAATCTAGAAATTTTCCTTACTCTTCTCACTTCATACCATGCCCCAGCCATCAGCATTTATTTGTTTATTTTCTCTATGCTGTGAGTTATGTGGGATAGAGAGAGAGGGACAACTAGACAAAAGAGGTTTTCCATCTGCTGGTTCACTCTCCAAATGATTGTATCAGCTAGAACTTAACCAGGCCAATACCAAGGAACTTCATCAGGGTCTCCTGCACAGACATGAGGAGAAGCAATTACCTGAACATCTTCCTCTGCTTCACCAAGCACATAGCTGGAAACTAGATCAGAAACAGAGCAGCTGGGACTCAAATTATTATTCTAATGGAATGTTGGCATTGCACATGGTAGTTTAAATTGCTGGGACACAGTGCCAGCTCTGAGTTTGTGTCTTTGAACTTAGGGATAATTTGCCTAATGGTAAGTGAGTAAAAAGGACCAAAAGTCTAAATTCAGTCAAAAACCCAAGAAGAGGTCATATTCCAAATGTGAGAACTTAGAATGAGCCAATGGATTCTAGAGCTCGTGACCCAAGCTGCGTGCCTGGGCCAAGTAGGCATTCTTTAGGAAAGTGATGTAGTATTGCAACTGCAGGCAGATTCAACGGCACTGTTCTTTGTATGGGCATTTTCAGAAACTGTAGCGGAAAGTAAGTACTGGGGTCAGAACTCTGACATTTCATAGATCCCAGTACAGTTTTAGTCAAACAGTAAATGTCCATTTTCATTTCCAGTATAAATGGGTGAATACTGGAGCTTGTGGTTAATGACACAAAAGGCAGTTCCATAAGTCAATTATCTTTTGCTTAAACCAATGGCTCCCCCCCAAAACAAAGAGGAGCAAATCACAGCAGCTGATGGCTGTAACACTCAAGAAGATCTCATTATAAAATGCCACATAGTTGTCACAGTCATTGGTGTGTACCACAACCTGCAAATAATAGATCCTAAAGAACTGATAGGGAAGAAAACAAATGAGGATGATGCCTATAAAAAATAGATTCTTCAGCTGAGCCCAGAATTCCTGATGGGATAGTAAGGAATGACGTAGCTTCCTCGCCATCAAAATAATGATCAAGACCTGGAAGACCAAGAGAATTAGTGCAATGGCTATGACAATGGCGACTATTATATAGTTTAAAACCTTCACATATGTACGAGCAAGTTCTTTCTGGAATCTAAAACAGTGCTGTTCATTGTAATCCTTGAGGCTTCCATACTGAGAGACAATCAAGGGCACCACGATAACTATCACCAAGAGCCACATGCCAGCGCTGGCAGCCACAGCATGCAACTTCCGGTAGAATTCCACTTTGTCTCTGCGCTTGAAGAAAATGAGATACCTGATGACCAGGATCACCACATAAAACAGGAATGTGAGGTACATGTGGATGTGCAGCATGGCACTCACAAATTTGCAGACAGGCAACCCAAAAGTCCAAGTCTCCTTGATGAGGTAGCTCAAGCGAAAAGGCACGGTCAGCAGGAAAACACTGTGGACCACCACCAGGTTCACCACAGCAGTGGTTGTCACAGACCGCGTGTTCATCTTCACCAGAAAGAACAGAATGGAGATGACGCCCAGCACTCCTCCAATGAGCACTACCAAATAGAGCCTGATTAAATGCGGTGTCAGTATAGGATTGCAAGAGGAATTCTTGGAGATATTGTGGCCAGCCATGCTTCTGATGTCACCTGCAAGAGACACTTCCATCAACACCAGCCAGAACAATGGCCAAGTTTGCAGACATTTGCTCAATCTCCGTATGACAATGTGGCTTCATAATTTATACACCCACATGAGGTAAACTACATGCACCAAGGATGTTTGTATTTCCTAGACAAAGAACACAGTAAATTATTGATTCCTATTCTTTAATAAAAATGAAACACAAATCTCAATCTTTGAGATGCTCCAGAGGCATCTAGATCTGTATCTGTGGACAAAAGCATTTGTGTATGTTTTCAGGGGATTGTATGACATCTGGAACTGATTCATGGATGTGGGTACTAAAGTAACCAGCAAAAAATATTGCCAGACACTTGCAAGGATAAGTGGATCCATGGTGCTAACAATTATCTTTATATAAAAATATACACAGATCACTCCCTTATTAGCAAATAACATGAGAATATTCATAATCAATTCATTGAAGATATTTATTATTTACAAAAATGCAGCTAAATCAAGGCAGTAAGTAGTAATAGAAAGGTTTATCTGAGATTTTCACTACAATTATAGCATAATCCAGCAGTGAGATTTGGCTATGTTCTTCCTACTGACCCCCTGAAATGCAGCATGTCACCTAAACACCTCACAAAATCAATAAAAGAACCCTTGTGAACTTGTGAAAGAACATCTTCTCAAACAATTTTCATTCATTTCTTATGTTATTTCAAATTTTTATTTACTTATTCGTTTGTTTATTTGAAAGGCAGAGAGATGGAAACAAACACAGAGACATGGAGAGAGCACACACCCATCTACCAGTTCACTCCTCAGATGTTCTTGTCTTCAAGGACTTGGCCAGTCCAAATCAGGAGCCTGGAATTCAATCCAGCCTCCAGCGAGGGGTGTGGGAACCCAAGCCATTACCTGCTGCCTCCCAGGCTGCACATCAGCCGCTGGAACCAGGAGCAGAGCCAGGGCTACAAACCAGACACTATACTGCTGTTCCAACCTTGTTCAAATGCTAGCTCGCTGTTTACTGGAACAGATTTGATAGTCTTCTAATTCCACAAATCAAGTCATGTCACTTTTCCTATTGAAATCTCTTCAATAGCTTTCCATTTCTTTTAAGTTAAAGAATTTCCTTATATGTCTAGCATGTTGCACATTAACAGCTAAAAAATCTCATCCCTTGACACCAGATCCAAAAATAATCCAGAGATTAAATTGACAGGTTTGATGAATGGGATATAGGAAAGGTTAAGTGTCTTGATCATTTGCAGAAATCTGATTTGTACAATTGTATTATTAGGTGTCTGTTCACTGACATGAGGGAGACTCAAAATGAGGAAGAATAGTAACAATTATTCACCCAGTACCTGACCTTGTAACACATTTGCATTATTCTAGTTCATTACTTGAATATTCCCTCATAAAGCATAAGGGTATGTTCAAAAGTTTATGAAAAATGGAAATAGAAAAATAAGTTTATTTTGGTGTAACAGTGATTACTAGATATTGGTAAAGGTGGAGAAAGGAAGGGAGGGTGGTTGGATAAAAGTACCAAAACATAGTTAAATGGAAGAAATAAATTCTAACGTTCCACAATGTAGTGGGGGTAATTGCTTACAATAATGATTATACACACACACAAAAGATAACAAAATTGACTGTCTTTTTTGTTTTCATTATGAAATACTGCATTACATTCCATGAAATGTGCATGTTACACATTAATCAAAAGTTAGATAAAATACTTTTCAAAAATGTAATCACTCATACTTTTTAACATGCATTTTCCATGAGCTTTTTAAAGAGCTTTTATGTGCATAGATTTCATTATTGTTTTGTACTGGATCAGCACTGTGGCATAGTGAATTAAGCTACTGTCTACAATGCTGGAATCACATATGGGCACTGGTGCATGTCCTGGCTACTTCACATAGTATACGTTCCCTGCCAATGTTCTTGAAAAAACAGGAGAAGGTGGTCTAAGCACTTGGGCCTATGCTATCCCTCTGAGAGACATACATGAAACTCCTAAGTCCTGGCTTTGTCCTGATCCAGTAATGGCCATCACAGCTATTTAGAAGATTTCTGTCCTTTTAACTCTTTTGAATAAATCAATGAACCTTTTTTTAAAAAGTGTTTTGTGCCCAAATAAACTTATCTTTTAATTTTCCATGAAATTTGGAGTTATTTTCATACAGTATTATCACTAAGAAAAATGAATCAGCTTTGAACACACATAATGTTGATGAATCTCAAAAATCATTATATTGGAGTCAGCTTTGTGGCTTATTGTGTAAAGCTGCTCCCTGCAATACCAGCATCTTATATGGGTGCCGGTTCTTGTCCTGGCCACTGTTGGCCTGGGAAAAGCAGTGTGTGGTTGCCTACCTGCTTGGGCCCCTACTAGCCATGGGGAAACCCAGATGAAGCTTCCTGGCTCCTGGCTTAAGGCTTGGACCAGCTTTGGCCATTACAGCCCTGTGGGAAGTATACCTCTAGATGGAAAATCCCTCTCCAGCCCCCAATTCTGTTACTCTGATTGTCAAGTGAATAAACAAATACTTAACAAAAACATTAAACACTACACTGAAACCTGTATATACTCAGTGAGGCAACCTTTCCCCTAATTGGAAAAAATAGTTATTGCTGAGGTGTGGAAAACTCTGTGTCCCAGATATAATCATAATACAATGTAATAGCAGTTATACAAATATATCTGTGGTATTAAATTTATAAAGGAGGAGAGACAAATATAAAAAAAATCAAAGGGCTCTTTAGGGGAGACAATGATTTCAAAAATATGTTGAGACAAACTGTACTAAATAAAAGATGTTAGCCACAAAGTTCACGTACTGTATGGCTTTATGAGAATGAATTGGTCTCCATAGTGCCAGGAGAACTCATGGAGTGATGGGAATGATTCATGTCATACTGGTTGCCATTGTGGTTACTCATATTTTAAAATTCATCAAATTGTCCTCTTGAAATTTGGTGGATTTTCTAGAATATGATTGATGCCTTATTAAACCTGTTTAATAATAAAAATAGAATAACCAGATCCCAGAAAATCTCTGATTTTTATAGGCATGGAATACAATTTCAAGAAATTGTGGTCAATTTGACTAGAACTTTCTTATGCATAGTGTAAAGGTTACGTTGTTATGTGTTCTGCATGATGTGTGATCTCTCTACTTGCCTTTCATTTTTTTCTGAAGGCAAGTAGCTCCATGGAGGCGACATACAGTGATACTGTCAGGAGCGGATGTGCCACGATGGGTTCTGCTCGTTTCCTTGTTGACCTAGTAGGAATTGACTTGTGAAAGAAGAAAATAAAGGAATATCATTTGTCTTGAGTCTTCTTTTTTATTGTTATCATATTCTATGTTTTCTCTCAAACATGAGAAATTCATGTTAAACACCTGTATGCTAGACTGTCTTATAGCTTAGCCTCTCCATTTTCTTATCTAATTTAGCCCCGACACCAGTCCTGTGAGTTATTTAATCTGTTATTCTACTGAATTTTAAATAAAGAAACTTAACTCTATACAGGATAAGTCCTTTGATCAAAACTTTCTAAAGTCTCACAACACACACACACACACACTCTCTCTCTCTCTTTCTCTCTCTCTCCTCTCTGTTTCTGTCTCTCTCTCTCTCTCTCTCTCTTTCTCTCTCTCTCTCTCTCAGGTATAGCAGAAATCCGTTTTGGATATTCTGAGCCCTAGTTTCTAGATCTTCACATAAGAAACAGAGGCCTTACAGACCTTTGGATCTGTATGTCAATATTGTCTTGAATGTTGGGACTGGTTGTTGTGGTGCAGTGCGATAAGCTGCTGCTCCTGATGCTGGTATACCTTATCAGAATCCTGGTTCAAGCCCTGGCTGTTCTACTTCTGATCCAGCTTCTTGTTAATGCACCTGGGAAGGCAGCAGAAGATGGCTCAAGAAACTGGGTTGCTGTCACCCACATGGTAGGACAGGATTTGGTTCCTGGCCCCTGACTTCAGCATGACCCAGACCAGATAATTTAAGGCGTGTACCAGCAGCAGAAAGATCACTCTTTCTCCTGTTCCTCATACTCTGCCTTTCAACTAAATAAATTAATAAATCTGGTTTTTAATAGCCACCCTAATCTTTGAAAAAAGGAAAGTTGTTCTTTCCTCTTTTTTTTTAAATCTCTCATTCCTTTTACTTGGTTTACAGCACACCATAGCTCACTCATCATCCATCCTATTTTTTTTCTGGCCCAGCCTTTCCTGTTTGGACATGTTCTAGCCACAGTGCTCATATGTAGCTTTGTTTGTGTGATCTGACATCACAAATGTTTTTGCATAGGTGAGCCAAATGAAGGCTAGCCATGTGTGGAGAGATTAGATCATTGGCAAGAGCTGTGACAATTCTTAGGATGATCTTTCTTGGACAGTGTGTGCATATGTGTGATTGTTTAAGAGTGTTTCATTTCCCTTGTAAATATCTACTAAAAGCAGATATCAAAAAAAAGCAGGTAGGCATTTCCTTTCTATACTTTAAAGATGTCACTGTGTCAGCGACTGGCTTTCATCATTGTGACTTTTGTTGCTACTGTTAAGCTTTTGCTTCTATGAAGCTTGTGGGTCTTTAACTTTATGATGATCTTTCCTTTATGTTTGGTGTGATTTGCATGTGGGTGGTTTTTATTTTGTTAAATTTTTTTCTCTGCTCATCCTGGCTTTAGGCTTATTATTTTTTATATTTGTGGGTTCATGTCTTTAGTCACTTCAGGGAATTTCTCAGCATTACTCCTGCAAGTATTTGTCCCATTCTCTTCTTTCCTCCCAGATTTCTGCTATAATTCTGCTAGACACTGTCATGGTTTCTCAAATTCTGTATTCCTTTCTCCCTCTTTCTGCCACCAGTTGGATACTAGGATCATCCTCTCTCAGGACTCCTCTCTGCACTGAATAACACAGAGAGCTGCTAAACAAACTAACAGGTTGCAGATATTGTGTGTGAAATATGTTCAGTTCTGGATTGT